CACCTGCCCTTTTCTCCATCGAGCCATTGGCCATCTTGTTTTCTTCCTCATCTTAGAGCCAGAAACAATAAAGGAAACGATCATGGACTAAACCGTGAATCAAACTAAGCCAATCCTTCTGTTAAGACATGTTTTTTAATAATTTTAATATAAATGGAAAACTGAACAATACACAGTTCATTTTGAAACTGTTTAGCCACTTGGGAAGTCAACATGGAGTATCTCAGAAAATTGGGATTCAATCTATCTCAATACCCAGTGATACCACTCTTGGGCATATACTCAAAGGATACTCAATCCTACCATGAGGACACTTGCTCAATGTGTCCATAGCAACATTATTTGTAATAATAGCTAGAACATAGATACAACCTACATGGTTTCCAAAGAATGGACAAAAAAAGTGGTACATTTACACAATGGAGTATTACTTAGCTGTTAAAAATAGTAACATCAAGAAATTTGAAGGAAAATGGACAGAGCTAGAAATAATCATCGTGTGTGGGGTAACCCAGACCCAGAAAGCAAACATAGTTATGTACTCACTCATATTATAGTGAATTTATATATCACATTTATAATGAATATTAACTATAAATAAAAAGATAACCATGCTACAATCCATCAACCCAGAGAAGCTTGATAACAAGGAGGGCCCAAGAGGGTAAGGTATGGATCTCCAGGGAAGGGGAAATAGAGAAGAACTCCTTAGTGGGGGAGGGGGTGGGGGGGATGGACATAGGAACTTGAAGGTTTGGGGTATGTGCAGAGTGTTATAGTGCTGAGATAAGGTGCTTTACCAGGTTGAATAGAAGCCTGATAAAAGGATGGACCCAGATAAGAATCTTGGGAGCATTGAATGCATAGCCTAAAATGGCCATGCCCTGTGATCTGATTGGCCACTACCCTGGTTGTCATCAGAGAACCTTCATCTGAAATGAGGAAGGCAGATTCAGAGACCCAGGGCCAAACATTAGGCCAAGCTTAGAGAGTCGTGTTGAGGAAAGGGAGGATAGACTGTAGGAAACATGGTGTCAGGGACATTGGAGGAACACCCACAAAAACAGCTAGCCTGGTTCATGGGACTCTGAACTTTTCACAGACTCTGAACCAACAACCAAGGAGCCTGCACAGGACTGACCTAGACTCACAGTTATATAGCTTGGTTTATTTTTGTGACTCCTGGCAATGGGAGCAGGGGCTGTCTCTGGTGATTTGACTGGATCTTGTAAACTCATTCTTCAAGTTGGATTGCCTTGAGAGGTGCTTGGTCTTACTGCAGCCCAATAGGTCATGCTTTACTTATGCCCATAGGAGGCCTGCCCCTTTCTGAGTGAATAGGGAGGAGGGGTAAATTGGGGGAGGCATAAAAGAAGGGGATAAGGGAGTGGGAGGAGAGGAGTGAGGAGAAGTTCCAGTTGGGATGTAAAATAAATAAATAAAACTTTAAAAAAATTAACTAAGAAAAAGTGATCAGGTAACCCTGACACACAGGATAAAAACCACAGTGTAACATAATAATATATTTATTATTATTATTATTACTCTGTCTTCTCTGTCTTTTGAAATAAAAATATATCTCCTACAAAACAGGTATCTCATCTAAAAGAATATGAAGTGGGCCAGGGAATGGATAAAATTAACACTCATCATTATTCTGTTCCATTCACAAAATCATGAGGTTGTAAAATGAAGCATTTGTATTTCTACATTGATTTTAATTTTATTTTTTGTACTAAAACCAGCAAGATTTTCTGGAAATTGAGAATTTTATCAAGTGAAAAGATCTGTTTACTGACCGATCTTTCTCTGTAGGTGCTTAAATGGCCAATTGCATTTCAAGACAAATTATTACCAAACGATAGAAAATGTTTTCCTTCTCTAACTGGGAATTACAGGGAGGGAAGGTATTATACTTTAATAAAGTGTCAAGTAAAAATGAGAAAGTTATTCAGCTATAATAGAAACTGGTGAAGCAGTAGCTAAAGCTAATGGAGTCCATAACAGTGTCCTAAGTAGATAGGCCTTATGTCCATCTAAGAAGAAGAAGAGGTACCTCTTTCCTCGGACATACAGAAAACAGACTACAAGAGGACATAAGAAAAATGCTGGAGATTAGATGCCTAGAAGAATTCTCATCAGAAATAACCTTCTAGCATTACCTGTATCTTCAGCTTATATCATCAGAACTCTGAGAAAAGAAAAAAGCAAATCTCCGCTCAAGCCAATCTATGGATTTTTCATGACAGTCTAAGTACACAAATAGGTTTTTAGAACACCAATAAACTACAGACAAAACAGGCATCTTTCAACAGTGGACTAGGTAACTGACTAGTGGTTTTCCATATCATCTGCAGGAAGAACAACCCCAAAAGATATCACATGGCAATGAAAAGAATCTGTGACTACAGTAGCTTCTGGCAGAGGCTATAGATAGAATTGACCAATTTATCACCAACATATTTTGAATTAATATTTGTTTAGAGATAAATATGTCAGAAAACAATGAACTGTGGTTCATTCATCATTATAGATAATAAGTTCAATTTTTATATAAAACATTAAAGATTTAATATGTAAAAACAATTTCTGAGATAGCTGCCTATGATTTAGTATAACTGTTTATATTCCTTATAATTATTTAATAAAACTGCTTAATTCTATAGGATCTCAGTGCTGGCTATCTTTCAGAATTATCTATAGAGTGTCAAACACTATCTTCACAACCTATGTGGGTTCCACCTTAGTGACTGGGAATTAATCAGCAGTCAAGGCTCTGAGACACTAAAAGGTTCTACAGGCAATCCTGACATACTGGATGAAAACCATCATACAAGCTGTTATAAGAACTCTGTTCTATTATAAAGCCTTATTGTATAAAACAACCTAAAATTTGCAATTTTAAGAAACTAATTTAAAATAAAAACATAAAATGTAATGTTGTATAATAATTAAAGAAATGATAAAGCAGAAAGAACAACTGACACAGAGAAAGTATTCCAGCATATGTATGCTGTAGGAAATCCTATAGCCAGTAGTTACCCACCCCCTGGGGCATGGCCACTTAAACTATTTAGGCCTATGTAAATCATGCGTCCCGCCTCTTTTCTGGCTGGGGGGGGGTATGGTTTCTGTTTTCCATTCCAGCTGAGGATTCTGATTCGTGAGTCTACCCATAAATAAATAACCTTCTATAATTCTCGATTTTAAGCTAGTATGGGATTTCTTTTAAGCATCCTTCTTCATGTGCAGGTATGTATTTGTGTATGATATAATTCCATTTAAAAAGACACAAATGTAAGTGTATATTGAAAGAATTTTGGTCATTCTGTAGGTATATTTTGTTACTTTATGCTCCTCTTCTGATTTGCCTGTATTTGATATTTCTGAATATCTATATATTACTTACATATTAAAAAGAAGCAGTTACAGTTTTGTTATTAATTAAAAAGAATTAATCACAATTTTTATTTCTCTCTAGTTCATTTAAAATATAATTGTATCATTTCCTCCCTCCAACTCCTGTCATGTCCCCACTTTATTCAATCCCTCTCAAACTCATGTTCTCTTTCTCTTTATACACATGCATACATATCTTTAAGATCTTTATGTCTATATGACTGCCAACATGCATGTTTGTGCATCATGTGTGCTTAGTACCCACAGAGACCAAACGGGCATTAGATCCTCTAGAACTGGAGTTACAGACATGTGGGTGCTGCAAATGAACCCCTGACCTCTGCAAGAGCAGCAAGTGTTCTCTTAACCAAAAGCTATCTTTCAAATCTCAAGCAACTGTATCCTCACAATGGAACAGATTAAATACTAGGGACACATTAAGTGATACTTTACTTTGAAGTAAAGCAAATGCTGATACAAGTATGCTATTCAGAAACCTTCTACAAGATTTAAATTTTCTCAATAATCAATTTATAGAAAAATAAAAGAACTTAGAATTTGTTCACCCAAGCAAGAAAGGTACTTTATTATATATGATGATCATTTGATATATCAATATATCACACCCTTAATATATTTAAGTAAGCTCATATGATGTAATTTAAAAAAACAATCAGCTGAAGGGTGCTCCTGATTTTTTTTTTTAATTCTTTACTCTTTTGGGTGACCTAACAACTGGTTCCCAGATTAATCATACACAGAGAGGCTTATTCTTAATTATAAATTATAAATGTCTGACTTTAGCTTGGCTTGTTTCTAAGCAGTTTTCCTTAAATTATAGCATCTACTTTTTGCCTCTGGGATTTTATCTTTCTCTTCTGTATATGTTACTTTCACTCTTACTCTGTGGCTGACTGGATGGCTGCCCCCTAACATCCTCCTCTTCTTGTTCTATCTTGCTCCTTCTTCCAGAGTTTTCTTTTATATATTCTCTCTGCCTGGCAGCCCTGCCTATCCTTTCTCCTGCCTCACTATTAGCCATTCAGTTTTTTTATTAGACCATCAGGTGTTTTAGACAGGCAAAGAATCACAGCTTCACAGAGTTAAACAAATGCAGCATATACAAAAGCAACACATCTTTACATCATTAAACAAATGTTCCACAGCATAAACAAAAGTAACATGGCTTAAAATAATATTCCATAACAGAAGGGCAGAGAAGATGGCTAAGACAGTACATGCTTACTAAAGAAGCATGAGTTTGGATACCCAGCACCTACATTTAAAATAAAATGGCACAGAAGCACACAACTTTTGTCTCGCTTGGGCAAGTGAGAAAAGCACTTGTACCCAAATGTGCATATACACACACATGAACATATACACACAAAAATTTAGCTGTAGTGACCAAAATGAACAAAAGATAAACAAACGTAATGCAAAGGCATATATGAAAGTGTTTGATGTATGAAGAAAGGAATGTATCCATTTTCACCATTTACACTCCAACAGCTTACTTCTTAAGCAACCAGTTATCTATCTATATTCTTAACTAGATTCATTGGCCAATGATAACTTCCATACTCAAAAGCTCATCTTACCTCATCTAAGTCTTGGATATAAACTGGCTTTTCCTCAAAGCCAACTGGCATTGGCTCACTATAAGGGATCCGTACTTCTTCATACAGCTTGGTATTCTCTCTTTGAATTCCTTCTGGTAAAATCATCTATAAGCATCAAAAATAAAATTCCAATAAAATAAAAACCACTGCTCTGGTAAGATTTTAGTTAAATTAGAGATGATGACAAAATGTTACTGGCTTTATGACAAAGTACTGACAAATAAATCCAGCTAATATAAAGGAAATAAATCTAAATGAGAGAAAAATAAACATGAACTACACCTACAGACATTCAGGAATCGGGTATCACAGAGCACAGTAAGGTGATGAACTGAAAGAACACACTAGCTACACAGTATTCTTGAGCACAAATGTTCTCTCATAACCAGAAAAAATATGTAATAGTCTAAGTTTAACCAGTCAATAATACAATGGATACAATTCATAAATACAAACTGAAATAATCAAAAACGTGAATATGTTCTAGATACTGACCATATTTAAATTTATTAAAATACAAAACAATTTAAATATATTTCAGGAACTTAAAAGATATACTGCAATATTCCATTTTCCTATTATTTTAACATATAATTTAGCATATTGTATCCAACGATAATATAGTCAAGGACATAGGAAAAATCTATGCAGGCATTTCCTCAGAAAATACCTGTTTCCATAAGTGGTTATTTTACAATGACATACCTTGGCACCAGCAATGAATGCTGATGTTTCTCGGGCCTTAGCCTGGGAATCATAAACATGGGGATAATGGACTTTTTCAGCTTCCATGTCTCTCTGCCTGCCCAGAATTGGAGCACTTCTAGCATTCAGAAGTGCCTGTTCTCTATAAATAAAAAGGTAAATAAATAAAAAGTCAAATTTGACACTATTACTTTAAAAATAAAATCATACACCTAAACGAAGCCATTATGATAGTTATTCTAGGTACTCCATTAAAAAGAGAGAACTTCAACTACAAAGGGAGATATTAGCAACCTAGAAGTCTTAGAAGAAATAAATATGCTTTAAGTATCCAGTTGCTACTTTTAAAAGAGGTTAGTAAGGATGGCTTACTAGTTTTTAACTGTAATTTTGCTACTGTTATGAATAGCAATGTAAATGTTTTGGAGATAGAGGTTTGCCAAGGGGTTGACAACAGATGGAGACCCATAGGTTCAAAACTGCAAATTTAAACAAATACTTCAATCATTTTCATTTTTTAACTTTTAAATAACAAGGAAAAAAACATATCATTAAATTGAAAACAAAAACATGTAAAACTATATCCATGTAGCAGTCATGTAACTTAACTGAAAAGTGTATACTGGGCAACTTAGACTAGCCTACCTCTACCTCTATAAATGAAATGTTTCACTTATATGAATTCAATCAAGACTTGCTCTAATTAAAAAGTGATTGTTTTATTTTGTCATAGAAAGCAAGGTTCTAAGAGAATCACCAAATTACTAAAAAACTAAAGAACAAATTACAAGTAAAATCACACCACTTGCATGTTTTCAGCACCTGACTTTTACTACCTGTGTATCCGGAGTTCCTTAGGATCAAAGGACAAAAGTCCTTCTCCAGAAACTTCCCCATCTTCTCCAGTCTTTTTTTGTCTGGAAATCCTTTTTTCTTCACGGCGATACAGTTTCATTAACTGTTTTTCTTGTTCAGACTGAATAGTGACTTGACATCCATAATTAGGCTTGGCATTGTCACCTAAAAGTTTTTTACAACTATCTGTAAAGTAATTAAAAAATATAATGAATTATAAATCTCAGACATGACCTTTATGAAAACCATTTTCCACCACAAAGACATAACAAAATCCAATTCTCTAACAACTCACTTTTTATAGTTGATTTACTCAATTACATATTTTTAAAACATTAAAAACATGGTATCTACATAGTATTGCATAGTAACTTAAGAAAAATCAGCAAAAGTTTCTTTTTAATGATTCAATACTGTAAGGGATACTGGGATCATTTAATTTTTCATATAACATCAAAATGACAAAAATTAAATTTCATATTTTATAATAATCTGTTCATAATTTCAAATATATACTTATCAATTTTTAATTAATTTACTATTTCTGTGATAAAATAATAATGTTATATATTAAATACAACTTTCCTCTAAGTAATTAGCCTTGCTATTCTAGGTTATCATACATTTACTACTTTTCACAGCTCAGGATATATCCACAGACAGTGGTCAAAACAACATTACTGTCCACCTTCTTATAGAAACGCAAGAGAACTAGATCAACCAAAGCTTACTGTTTATTAAAGTATGAGTTAAGTTTGTGTGTAGTCACCTCAATTTTCAGGATGTTTTTCCAACAGGATTACCTTCTGTGGCTATTTATTTATTTATTGGGTTGGTTGGTTTGGTTTTTTGAGACTGGCTTTCTCTATGTAACAGTCCTGGCTGCCCTTGCATCAGCATTGTAGACCAGGCTGGCCTTGAACTCACAGAAATCCACTTGTCTCTGTTTCCCGAGTACTGGGATTAAAGTAAGTGCCACCACCACTCCATACCTTTTGTTTTTAAAGTCTTTCTGAGTCCCTACAGTCCCAAAGGAACTAACAGAACTTCCACTAAAAAGGAGTCAACGTCAGTAAGTATTTACAATATTGAGAACGTGGCACAACGAAGCTAGGAAGACAATACCAAATGAGACTTATCTGTACTCTGAACAGAGCGCAGGTACAACGTATTTTATCAAATGGCAAAAATTCAAATTAGAACAGGGAAGGTATTAAACAAAGCACCAAGACAGTAAAATGTGGTTCAAATTTATTCTTAGTCAAATCTTAAAACTTCTCACACACTGCATCCTTACATAACTTAGAGTAAACCTTTTTAATTCTCAATCACATAAAATAATCTAAAATGTGGCTTTATTAGCATTAAAACGTATTTTTCAAAAGCATAAAAGATGAAAGACTTTGACCTATGATAAATTAAAATTTTATGTCTCTAACAAAAATTTTGTTCTATTTGTCTCATATACCTTACTTTCTACGCAATAGCATATAATTTATAATTAACTTTCAATGCCAAAAAATCCAGATTGTGAATGTTTTCACATGTACAGAGAACTAAAAGAAAAGTGAAATTGTCTGCAAAATGACATCCTCTTATTTCAATGTATGGTTTTTGTGTTTTGTTTTGTTTTGTTTTTAGTTATGCTATCTGTAAAGACAGACAAGCAGAAACAAAATAAATAACCGCAATAACAACTATCACATATAATGTTACTCAAGAGTAAAATAGAAATTTATGTTTTTATAAAACCATATTATGCTAGAAAAGAATCATGTATAGTCTTCAAAGATGAGTTACCAATGGTCACGTCAGAGGAGCAGCAGAAGGCAATTAAGCTTCAGAAGTTTGGCTTACCAGAATGTAAGGCACTGATAGGTGAATCTCTGATACAGGAGGCCCCAAGGGCTTCGGTTCCAGAATGCCTCTTGCAACTACTGTGCCTTTTCATTTTTGCCACTGACATTTTTGCCTGGGATCTGGCATAATGTGAATGGCTGTGGGGGGATCCCCACTGCCTTTAATGTAGTGTGATTAGCTCATGAAATATCCCCATTCTATTGTGCATTTTTACCTGTGAATTATTATAAAGATGATTTTCTCTTAGGTTATACTGTTTAACTGAATTAATGACTTTATACCCAGGTCCACATCCAGGACTTGGGAGTTGCCCCCCCCCCATCCCCTGAAACATCTATCTGTGAGCTGTTGGGGCACGTGAAGGGACTAACTGGTCCTGAGGAATGGTTGCCATGCTGTCTGAGAGAAGTTTCAGTGAGGGTCCAGTACTGATGGTGTACCAGAAGCCAGAGGCCTTGAATGAGACCAATAACTCATAGCAATGAATATTTGTGATGAAAGCTATTTAGGCAAAAGGATATACTGCATGACACGCTGCAAAATGAGTATGTGATGGAGAGAAAAAGATGGAGGCATAAAGCGTTTTTTTTTTCTTTCTTTTCTTTTGAAATCTTCTTCGGTGGGGGCAGGCTACAAGGATGGTGGATGGACATGGAAGGACTACGAAATGAGTGAGATTGCGGTGCATGATGTATTAACTCCCAAGAATCAATAAAAATTATGGTAATTAAAAATATTCAAGATAAAGTTTTCTGCTAAAATAAGAAAAATGTTCAAGAATATAGCTAGTTATAAATAGAAGCAACATGAACAACAATCCTATAAAGAATAAAAGTAAAAGCCATGTGAGAAGAGTAGAAAACATTTCTGGTCAGATACATAAGTGTATCTCAAATACACTTTAAACAATTTAAATTTAGTTTGGGACTAGGAAAGGAGCTCAATGATAGAATTCTTGCCGAGCATGTGTGAAGCCCTAAGTTCAATTTCCAGCACAGAAAAAAATTAATATTTAGTGTTGACTAAAAAGAACATTGTTTCTATGTTATCATTATAAAACAAAATATGTAAAATGAGAATAAAATATGATCATAACTGGAATTACTAACTACTCTCTGACTCACTACAGCTTTTAAAAACTGTGAAACTATAATTCATGTTTATGTTGGTAGTAACATTTAGAATACTAACCAAGATAACACAAATTTTTCAGAGCTTATAAATTTCAGGATTGAAGTATAAAATACTGTTACTTATGAAAAAACAGTTTACAAATAAAGAGGGTTTAACTGTTCTTAAATGCTGCTGGTTCCCCCAGTATTTTGGATTTTATTAATTTTATTGAAAGGTACATTTCTTAGTTCCAGATATAATGGTAGTTGGTTAAATTACTTCTATCCACTTAAATCAATGTTTCCAAAATTGAAGCATTACCAGCATTTTGAAAGAATTGAAAAGGAATAAATGAAACAAGATTTACAAGGTTAAAATACACTGTTCCTTGGTTTATTTTTTGTGGGAATGTACATGTCAAAATGGCTACAGTCACTCTGGGTGGACTCAGGCTGCACAGTGCAACACGGAGCTGCCTACAATTTATCAGTGCAGATCTTATATTCAGGGCCAGCAGGAGAACTGTTATAAGAATTCAGTCCTATAGGTCAATGGTATTGGGGTGACTTACCCCTATGGACATGGTCTTCTCTGGGTACATGATCAGATAAGAACTGAGGGTAAGGGTCATGTGCTCCCTCTGGGACAATGAGGGAATTGGCAGAGCTACATCTTGGCCCTTGATGAACGGAGGTCATGAAGTTATTATAGTGCAGCAGCAGAGAGCTGATTCCCTAGCGGGATAGGCAGAGCAGCTGGTGATGTGACTGGACTCCTCCTTCTCTGTTTTGGAATCTTTGTCCACAGATTTGATATAATAAAAGATAAAACAGTCTTAAAAATTTCTGCTTTGGAGAATCTGAACACTACCTTTGTGGTCTTATAATTATGGAGATGCCTCCTTAACTTCCCTTAAGACGCTGCAGAAGAATTCTTGCAAATCTATTCCTTTTAAAACAAAATTCTACATTAGAAAAAGTGGCAGTTTTATAAAAATAGTCCATAGTAAAAGCTTCTGGAGTGTTTTATAAAGCCTGAACTAAGTTTAGTACAAAAAACAAAATTTTCATCCAAAGTAGAAATAAATTTTCTCAAATGGAAGTAGACTGAGACAGAAATTATGTAGAACTTTTATTATGGATACAAGCCATCTATTCTCTATAAAAAATAGTAAAGATAACAAATTTTTAAAACCTGTGGTATCTGGTTTATATAAAACACCTATAAGCTTAAATGTAGTTCTCATATAGCAATAAAAATCCCTCCTCTAAATTAGGTATTACTTGGCTATGGGTGTCAATTAACCATTTACTATTTAAAATATTACCCCTGATAAAGCCTTAAAAGGGCATTTGTAAAATGTTGGTTTTTATGTAATCCTTGTAATTGTTTAAATTTTGAGATTTAAATTACGTGATTCACGGTTTTCAATACCACTTACATTGGTCTTAAATCAGTGTTAAAATGAAGGTTCACAGTTTTATTTCACATTCATATGTACGGCCTGGAACTGAATGTTTTGTGGGTATCTTAGGTTTTTCTTGCTGTGAAGAGACACCATGAACATGGCACCTCTTATAAAGAAAACATTTACTTGGGGTGGCTCCCTTACAGTGTCAGAACTTCAGTCCATTATCTTCAGGGCTGGGAACTTGTCGGCTTACAGGCAGACAGACATACGGCAGGAGCTGAGACTCCTACATCTTGACTCAGAGGCAATAGCATGGCGAATGACTCATGGGGTGGTTTCTGGGTCTAAGAAACCTCAAAGCCTGCCCCCTTAGTGACATATTTTCTCCAATAAGGCTAAACCCACCGCCAACAAAGCCACACCTCCTAATTGTGCCACTCCCTATGAACTTATGGGGGCCAAATATATTCAAACCACCACAGTGGGTGAATTAGAATCCAAGTATAGAATCAAATCTAACTATCCTTAGAATCAGTTTTCCCAACTTCAACTTAGGCCATTATGAGAACCTGATGATGGACTTGAGATTTCATAGCTTAAATCCTGTGCCATCGATCGGAAACTCACAGTGAGAATTGAAAAAAAAAAAAAAAAAGACTTCAGTACACAGGTTCTGTTGCTGCTGCTGCAATCCTATACTGCTTAAGCAAACAGCAAAAAATGCGATGTAACAGAATTTTGCCTAAATACTCTTGGCTGCTAATGGTAACTAGGTGATCTCTAAGATGTATGATTTTGCATTTACTGCAGGAAAGAGAGGAGCCTATGAATGTCAGAGAAGATCCCAGGGAGGACCAAGTTTCTAACAATTGTAATTCTATCCCAGCCTTCTAAGAACATTTATAAGGATTAGAGAAGATTCATAAGTAATTTTGGATTTAAATCAAGGCTGTTTCCATCAGGCCTTTTTAGTGCCGTCACCAGGAAAAAAATGAAATGACATAAATAGAAAGTAAGCATAGCGCAAGCAACAATAGACATTAAAAGTATAAAATTCCATATAGTCTTATTATTTTTTTAAAAAAAAATCCCAGTTAATAAGGCTGGCAAGGAAAATTTGATTAAAAGTTTCAAGAAATTTCATTTTTACTTTGCTATTTGAAACCTGAGTCTGGCAGCCCTATGGACAAGATACCTCCGGTAGCTTTTATTTTATTATTTTGTTTCTTATCCAACTGTCCCTAATCTGGGGGAAGTTTAAATACAAACAATACATGGTGTTCCACTTCCAAGTGTGATAGTAGCATAGCAGTTGTAAGGGTGACTGTCAGTGTTCTTACCTGTACTCATAAGAGCTTACAGGGCATTGCCCCGAGGTACACAATTTCTTAAGCTTGTTAAGGAAAAGGCTTAAACAGTGTTCTTGTTGTCTTTTCTCTCTCCTCTCTCTCTCTCTCTCTCTCTCTCTCTCTCTCTCTCTCTCTCTCTCTCTTCTCTCTCTCTCTCTCCCTTCCCACCTTCCTCTCTTGTGTGTGTGTGTGTGTGCGCGCGCGCATGTATATGTGTGTGTGTGTGTGTGTGTGTAACGAATAATGGAACAAAATGCTAATGAGAGGTAAAACTACATAAGTACATGTCAAGTATTTCAAGAATCTACTGTATTATAATTTAACAGGTTTGAAAATGTTTAAAATAAAAAGTTGGAAGCAAGCTATAATACTACTGGGCACATAGTAAATAATATATGTATTCATGCTTTTAAAAAATTCTTCCATATTGCTTAAGATGCCAATCGTCCCCCGCAAAAAAGTGCTATGTCCAAACACTAATATATCCTATTGGTGTCATTTATGTATGTTTTATGGTCTGCTTTGTCTCAAAGGTTCATTAGCCAACAAATCTTTTTTAAAACACATTATTTTTTAATTTCATAGAGCTATAAAGAAATATGACCATATCTAGCCCCATTACTCCTCTCCATCTTCCTCCATAGCCTTCCAACATACCACATTCGAAACTTCATGTTTTTCAAATAATTCACTAAGTCCAGTTATTAACTAGTGCATACACAGGTTTAAATATAAGCTGAAATTCCTACTGAACTCTTACCTTGAAGAACCTGAAACTTATGATCATTTGAAGAATTAAGAAATCGATCTACAATTGTAATTCTGTTCTGGAGAAGCTTCTCAATCAGATCGAGTCCTTCAGGTCCCAGCAACTCAAAAAGCTTTATAAGAAAATAACAAAATGAACTTTTACTCATTAACACCCCTTACAATAAGATGATGAGGTCAAACTAATCATATGCAGTACACGATATTTAAAAAAGAAATCAACTTGTAAAAGAAAATTCTCTATCTACAATGGCAAAGAATGTCCAGAACCTGTATAAAGACTACTTATTATTACATACTTAAAGATCATGATTCTGTTTTTAAAAACAATTATAATTTTAATATGTAACTTCATCACAGAATAAATTATTATTCTTAAGTTTTCTCTGGTATAATCAATGAGATTCTAAAATTTAATTTACTTTCCAACATTTTTCTGGCCTTTACATAGACTGCATATTACTAGCTACCCAAATAAATTAGAACATTTAAATCAATTATGATTGGTTACCAAATTTTACAGGTATTTATAGAACAAATCTGTACTCTGAAACACAGTTCAGAAAAGTTCTCATGCAAATATTACTTGCCTATGCAGAAATTGTCAAAAATCAATTTGGTTTCAGACATGGAAGAAAAACAAATGTTAGGGTTCAGAGTTTTCAACTAGCTCAATATATAGCATGCCTCTTCTAGAAAGGATTCAGGCTTCCTCAAGTATGAGTTGAAATGACATATATACACTATTTCTTTTTCAAAATGTTACACTCTACACTCCCATGTTAGGAAGTTACATTAATCAAATTCTTTTATTATAGAATCCATATATAAAATCATAAGACAAAAACTTATGCTGAGTATATATGATTTATTAAATATAAAGTATTTTTGCTGTTTAATGAAGTTATATAAGCAAAAGGAAAATAAAACAGTATGAATTATGAAGAATGATCCTGTCTTATCAACTCTAAAGGTATCAACAGTATACAAACATTTATTATATGTCAAAACTATGATTAGCAGATCTACAAGATCTGGCCTGACAAACATTTCAAATTCAAGTACTAACATTACTTGATTTTATAAAACCTAAACTTAGGAAATTTACACCTGTATATCCAAGGTTAAACGGATAATAGAAAAGCAAACTTTGAAGCGATAACTCTCTGAATCTGAACACAATTGGAGTATTTTACAGAAAACTATTGTGATATGCACGAACAGAGATACGCTGTCCAACTAGCAGTATCAGGTAGGGTTATATCTAAAACACAGAACTAAGAAGTGATCACTGATTTCAGGAGAGCCCAGATTACATAGCAAGCTCCCCTGGACAGAAAATAAATCAGGGATTTTTGTTGTTGATAATGACAGTTGCTAGGACTTTTAAAACTTTATGGGCTATCTGGACATACTGAAAATGGTTAGCATGTAAGAATAAGAAATATAACTAAATTCTCATAATAATTCTAAGTAACTGAAAAAAATACTGACATATAAAAAGCTGAAAACAGACAAATGACCAAGGAAAAATTAATAGGACGCAGAGAATTAGAAGGAGGAAACAGTTGGGCTGCAATAAACAAACAAACAAATAAATAATCACACAGGATTCCTGCCACCTGATTCCAGGCCCCATATCTGCTTCTCCCAAAGATCAGGCTAGCATCCTGAACCCAGTTGACAATGCCCCCAAACCTGCCCTTGCCAGTCCAATATAACTCCAACAGTCCCAACTCTCTTTTTCACCACTTCCAGGAATGATATTTAATTTGTATTTTAATAAATAAAGCTTGCCTGAAGATCAGAACACAAAACAGCCATAATGGTCAGTCATACAGGCCAGGCAGAGGTGGCATACACTTACATAGAGGTCAGGTGGTGGTGGTGCACAGTTTTAATACCAACACTAAAGAGGAATATAAACCAAGTTGAGATAGGAACTAGCTCTTTCAATCTGAAGGTTTTATAGAGGTAAGAGCTCTCTAGTGGCTTGGCTGTTTTGTTTTTCTGATCTTCATGAACAAGACAAGGCTGTCTAGCTAGAACAATAAGGCAACCAAAAGAGATTAAAAGGGAATCAAATTGGAAATTAAGAAGTTACTACCAGGTCAAATGATAGTATACATAAGCAACCCAAAAAAAAAAAAAATTCAACCAGGAAAATCCTACAGCAGATAAACACCTTTAGTGAAGTGACTGAATATATGATTAACTGAAAAAAAAAAAGTAGTCCTCCTATATACAAACAATAAAAGGGCTGAGAAATAAATCAGAGAACCAACATCCCTCACAATTAGCTAAAATAATATACAATATTTTTCATTATTCTAACCAAGCAAGCAAAGAACCTATATGGCATGAACTTCAAATCTCTGAAAACAAAAATTTCATAGGATATCAGAAGATAGATAGATCTCCCAGGCTCATGAACTGGAAAGAATAATATTGTAAAATGGTACCATCTTTCCAAAAGCAATTTATGGATTCAAAGCAACTCCCATTAAAACACCAACACAATTTTTTACAGAGCTTGAAAGAACAATATTCAACTTCATATGGAAAAATCAAAAACCCAGGATACCTAAAACCATCCTATACAATAAAAGAACTTGCAGAGGTATCACCATCCTAGATTTCAAGCTCTACTACAGAGCAATAGTAATAAAACGAACACGTTTACTGGCATAAAAGCAGACACTTGGATCAATGGAATCAAATTGAAGGGTCAGAGGTAAATCCACATCCTTATGGACATCTAATTCTCAACAAAGAAGCCAAAATTATACAATGGAAGAAAGAAAGCACTTTGAACAAATGGTATTGATCTAACTGAATGTCAGCATGTAGAAGAATGCAAATAGATCTATATCTATCACCCTGTATAAAACTCAAGTCCAAGTGGATAAAAGACCTCAAAATAAATCCTGATACACCAATCCTCATAGAACAGAAAGTGGCAAGAGCCTTGAATACATTATTGGCACAGGATAGAGAATCCTTATTAAACCACCAATAGCATAAATATGAAGATTGACAGTTAAGAAATGGGACCTCATGAAACTAAAAACTTCTTTGTAAGGCAAAGGACACAGCAGTCTCCAGAATGGGAAAAGATCTTCACCATCCCCACATGTGGCAGAGGGTTGATCTCCAAAATAAATAAAAAAACTCAAGAATACTGACATAAAAAAATAGTGGAGTGCAGATCGAAACAGAGAGGAGCCAACCAATGACTGGCCCAGCCTGTGACCCATGACAGGAGAGTGAGTGCACCCTTGACACTGAAGCTGATGGCCCAGAGATCCACGATAAAACCAAATAGCCTGGGAAAAATGTCAATGTAACGATGCCTAACGATATTCTGCTATACTCATAGATAGGCGCCTAGCTCAATAGTCATCAGAGAGGCTTCATCCAGCAACTAATGGAAAGAGATACATAGATCCACTGCCAACATTGGGCAGACTTGGAGAATCCTGCAGAAAAGGGGAAGAAAGGATTGAAGGAGCTAGAGGGGTCAAGGAAATCATAAGAAAACCCAGAGAAACAACTCACCTAGACTCATAGGGGCTCACAGAGACTTGGAGCCTACATGGAACTGACCTCAGCCCTCTGCATAATGTGACAGTTATGTAGCTTATTCTTGTGGGACTCCTAACAGTAGGAGCAGGGACTGTCTCTGACTCTTTTGGGGCCTTTTGGGACTCTACTCCTCACTGGGTTGCCTTTTCCAGTCTTAATACAAGGGGAAGTGCTTAGTCTTACTACAACTTGATATTGTCAATATCTGGTGTAGGAGGTCCTTTTGTCCATGGGTTGCATTCATTGGTTAATGAATAAAGAAACTGCCTTGGCCTGTTGATAGGGCAGAACATAGGTAAGCGGGGAAGACAGAACTGAATGCTGGGAGAAGGGAAGAGTCAGAGAGACGCCATAGATCCGCCTGAGACAGATGCTGGAAATTTTACCTGGCAAGCTACTGCCACATGGTGATACACAGATTAATAGAAATGGGTTAAATTAAGATGTAAGAATTAACCAATAAGAAACTAGAGCTAATAGGCCAAGCTGTGATTTAACTAATACAGTTTCTGTGTGGTTATTTCGGGGCTAAGCTAACCAGGCAGCCAGGAAAAACAAGTGGGCCCTTTTCCTACAAATGTCCATGGGAGGCTTGTCCTTTTCTGAATAGAAATGGAGGAGTGGATGGGGAAAGAAGAGGCAAGTAGGGGGAGTAGGAAGAGAGATGGAAGGGGAAACTTCAGTAGGAATGTAAAATAAATTTTAAAAAAATTAACAAAGGATCCATGTTTTTGTCACATTACAATAAGCAACTAATAAGAAGCACCCTGTAAAATACCAAGAACTTACTAAGCATTCCAATATTTCTTTAGAGATCTATAACGAAATTGCAACTGCATAAACATTTAAGAAACAGTGGGCACTAAAATCAAAAATACATTCACACAGAAAATAGTCTAGCTTTATTGGGAATGTACCAAGAAAATAAAAAAACACTTTCTAAAATATATGTGAAATGCTTACTTTTTATTAAGAATAGTAAGTACCCACCTTAGTGGAAGCTATTCATGAATATCATGAAGACTGTTTCTATGATCATAACCAACTTTCTAAGAAGAGATTAGAATGTCTTCTTATAAGTTATGTTTTTAATATCTATTATTTGCTTTTGAACAAAGTATTGAAAGCTTCAACTTCTTAATGTCCTCTCATGAGAAAAGTTTCTTAATCATTACATCTTACATGAATCTAGGGACTGATGCTTTTCTTTCCAAAGCGACTGATTTTTCCTCTGAGTACTAACTGTGAAACTATCCATAGCTTTTGAGATATCTCTGATCGCATCTCTGTTGCTTTTCTTGTTTCTAATTTCCCAGATTTCATCTATGGATCAGGGAAGGCCATTCATGAATTCTGCTCTCCCCTCCAACAAATATATTTACTGGAATTTCAGGTATACAGCCATGCAGGTGACCACAGGGACTTCACACTGTATAGCTGAGGACTCAATGACCCCACACACTCTAGTCTAAATGTCACCTGCTAGCACAAGTATCATATTACTTTGCACAAAATCTAGGGCTACTAA